ACTGATTGCATATGATATTTTCAGGATACGATTTATAGTGTGTTTTATCTTGGTTTACATCGTTCGCTATGCTACACAATTCATCCACGTGGTGTGGCTGCGTTTTGGGCGTTAGCATTTGCAATCTCGAAAGTTGTCGAATTGGGTGATACCTACTTCATTGTGATGAGGAAAAGACCACTCATTTTCTTGCACTGTTACCATCATATCGCTGTTATCATTGGCGCTGCTCATGGAGGTTCCATTTCGTTGCATTTTCCGGCTTTTCAGCAATTCAATTGATCTACAGTTGGGGTCAATGAAATCAATCACTTCCGTAGTGCCAAGATGCCAAATTCGCGAATTTGATCAATTCATAGCATGAATTGTTTTTCAATGTGAAAAATATTCGATTTTTCATTCACTGCCAGTGATTTTTCAAGCGTTCGAATGCATTGGACAAATGAAATATGCAGATTTTGTGCTGATGAAATGTGAAATAACGAATCAAATCTCGTAGTCGTTTTTTTTTGTGAGAGTATGTGGTAAGAAAACACTGCATGGANTGGTAAGAAAACACTGCATGGATGATAAATAGATTCGTGACACTTGGATTGGTCTTGAATGTTACCACTGAGGATGGACTGGAAATTTGCAGTGAACGTTTTGCATTTCAGGAGCAGCACATGTAGCCCATGGGCGTTTCTTTGTTTCAATGAATTTCTTCGTGCATTCCATAATGTACAGCTACTACGCGTGTACTTCAGCCGGTTTTAAGCCTTCAAGGTTCGAACTGAATTCGATTGAATTATAGCATATCCAGCCGGGTGAATACATGAATTATCACACAATCAGTGATTTGTGAAGCTTCGTTTGCAACGCGAACCGATTCGGCTTGCTTGAAATTCCTGATTTCTAGAGTAGAATCTAAAAACAAAGGATTAATTTCCAATTTTGTTGCTCGAAATTAAAGCAAACCTCTTTTATGGATTCTGTGTTCGTTGAGAGCGAAATTTCATTCATTCAGCAGTAATTTACTACGAAGACAAATAATCTAGGAAAGCAGCCTTTTGGATAAGGGTCCAGACAAATAGATGCGTATTCTCTTGGACAATTGTACTCTTTTGAGAGGACAGATCATTTTCTCTTCGCCAGAAGATCACTGACTAGAATATTATTATGCTTCTGATGTGTGTGTCATGAGTTGTATCGGCTGGCATTGGTTAAAGGTAAATGAAATGAAGAGTTCATTACAGGCTGATGGCAATGCTCGTCACAACGCTTCAAATCATACAAATGTTCGGTGGTATCACAGTCAACTATTTGGTTCATCAGATCAAACTTCACGGGACTGAACCGTAAGTAACTTACATCTGCACAACTCACAGAATCGACTCATTTCGTCGTAAAAACTTTCATTGGCCTCTGTCAAATTCACAAGAATCATTGCGTTAGAATTCATCCAGCTATAAGCTCATGTTAAATGCGTTAGAATTTCCAATATTACTGATCTTAATATGCAACCAGTGCGGTTCAACCCTCATCATTTTTTGTTATTCTGTCCGAATCTTCAGTAATTTATCATTCGTTCGGCTCGCAGCTCTCATCATTGGCCGTTTTAATTCACGTCGAATGAAATTCTCAAACCGAAAGGCATCAATTAAGCGCATCATCACCTCAAAATGAGTTCGCATTGCAGGTGTCAACAGTCGATGGGACACGTGTACCTTGGATATTTTGTGTATGGTACATTCGCAGTACTCTTCATTAACTTCTACCTTCATGCTTACTTCCTGCAACCCAAGCAAAAGTTCGTCAAGAAAAAGGCTGAATGAATGACACACACATACGAGCTGAATGTTTCGATCACACTCATGCCTATATCTACGGTATTATTAGAAATAAGATTTGCTCTCCGATTGTTTTATCCGGATAATCGCCAATGTTTCGAATAGAATTGCGTTTAGCCGTCAACCAGTCTCGATTTGCATCTGACACATTCAATACCTCTAGAATTATCTTATGAAAGCAATAAAGCCATACTACACACACCATCAGAAGCGCTTACATGCCGTATCATCACATC